GGGCTAGAAAGATGGTTCAGCGCTTAAGAGGACTTTCTGTTCTTCAAGTGGACCCAGGCTCAGTTCCCAGGACCCAAATGGAGACTAACAACCATCTCTAACTCCAGTTTCAGGGGATCTGACTCCTTCTTCTGGCCTCTTTGGGCACTACATGCACATGGTGCACATACATACATTCAAGCAAAACATCCATATGCATAAAAAAATGAATAAAATTAAATAAATATGGGACTGGAGCGATGTCCCAGTGGTTAAGAGCACTGGCTGTTTTTGCAGAAGACCCAGGTTCGAATTCCAGCACCCACATGGCAGTTAACAACCATCCATAACCCTATAGATCTGTAATTCCAGGGGATCAGATGCCCTCTTCTGTCCTCCTTGGGTACTGCATGACACAGGTGCACTTATATACATGCAGGTATAACACCCATACACATAAAATAAAAATAAATAAAAGTAAATAAATATTAAAAAATCACAAAACAAAAAACCACAACCTTCCCCTGTCATCTAGAAAGGAAGGTCAGACTGGGGGAGAAGAGATCCTATTTGCCTTTAGTGGATTAGAAGCCAGAGCTAAACTGCCATGAGCTCAGTTACATCTGCTGCTTGAGGAAGCAAGGATCAGCAGATGGAGAACAGTGCCCAGCATAGCTCCCTAGCCTGGGTGGGCCCAGGGAACAGATTCAACCCTACTTTGGAGAAATGACAGGAAAAAGACTGCCTTGGGGCTGCAACAGGATCATAGATACAGCTAGAGTCCTGTGCTTTTAGGGCATTAGGAGGGCCAGGGGTTCGCTCACCTAAGTAGGCCGCAGAGCTGAGGAGAGTGTGGATAAGAGGAGTTGATGTAGGGACCCGGGGGGCTTTTATCCTGGAAGTAATGGGGAGTCTTATGGTGGGGGTGAAGGAAGACAAGTAAATATTTGCTGAAGGAATAGTGCAAGAACCAGGTCCACTGCAGGCATTTCCTCAGCACTGGCAGCATACCCTATCTATCAGCTGCAGCCAATAAGGCAGACACCAGAACAGTGGAAGCTCTGGAAATTAACACCATCAGTGGGGGTGAGAGGTTCTAAGTGGGCAGAACTGGACAGGAGGGATAAGGGGTCACCAAACAAAAAGCCAGCCTATACACTAGACCTGAAGGCTCATGGCTCAAGGCTTCCCCAGGACACAGGCTGCCTATGGCAGTCACAGACACCCATCCCCCAGCAACACCAAACCTCTACAAATCCCTTACTCTGGAGAGAACAGTCCGTGAGCAACAAAGGCTTCATTTAAAGATTTTTTAAAAGATTTATGTGTATGTATCTACATGTACGTATGTTCATATGCATGTGGGTGCCTGTGAAAGCCAGAAGAGGGCATCAGATCTCCTGGAGCTGGAGTTATAGGTACTTGGGAGGTGCCCCCATGTGGGTGCTGGGAACCAAACTCCAGTCTTCTCCAAGAGCAGCAAGTGCTCTGAACCACTGAGCCATCTCTCTAGTCCCAAAGGGCTTCATTTAAAAGGAAAAGATTCCTCTATTTCATAGGTTGGGTAAACACCTGAAATTATTTCTTCAAATAAAAATACTCAGGGCTGGAGAGATGGCTCAGCGGTTAAGAACACTGGTTGTTCTTGTAGAAGACCCAGGTTTGAATGCCAGCACCCACATGGCAGCAAACTGCCCTAACTCCAGTTCCAGGGGATCCGACAGCTTCTTCTGTCCTCCGGGGGCATTGCACAACACAGGTGCACTTACCTACATGCAGGCAATACACCCATACACATAAAATAAAAATGAAGAAATAAGGGAGGCCCATGGGGAGCCCTGGTTGTGCTCCTGCCTTCTCCAAAGCCCTGATGTACCACCTGCCTCCCTGGACAGCAATGAGCCCCAACCCTCCCAGGCAGGAAGAACAGGTGAGGTTTGTCTTCTGTGACTATTGGCTGGGGGCCTGCCCTCCCAGTGTGTTCAGGAAAGCCCTTCTCTAGAAACCCAAGTTCTTAGCATCAGGAACATGCAGTGTCTTCTTCCTTCCTGTTCCTCTGCCAGAGTCCAGGGCCTCAAACCACCTGCTGGCCTCTTCCCCTCATCCCTATCATAATCCCATGATTCTATCTCCCCATGTCCCACATCTTCTTGTCCCCTCATTTATCCCCTTTGCATTCTTCACTTCCCCATCACCTTTATTCTGACCCCTCCCTCATCATGTCCCCTTCCTGCCCCAACTCTTGCTTTCCTGCTACCCTGTCAGGCCTCTCACCATGGAGAACAGACCAAGGTATGCTTCAGGAAGCACAGTCAACTCCTTTAGCACAGTCCTCAAGCCACTAGCCCATCATGGGACTCTGAGTGGAGAGAGCTGAGGGGCTGTCAGCTGTGTTCATAGAAGACTCAGGTCTGAGGCAGCCACACACTGCCAGGACCCCTTCATGACATATCTGGAGATGACCATCTGCAGGAATACAGGTGTGCCAGGCCTCTGACACCTCTCTCCTCTCTCCAGGGCTAGCCTGGGAAGGAAGATAAGCCCTGGGGAACCCAGGAGGAATATTAGGAATGGGGTTACCTCATTTGCCTCCCAGTGGATCTAGGCTTTGATCTGACAGATAAGAAAGATGGTTGAGGTGCCTTCTTGGGGCTGTGGCTCTCTGCCTTTCCAGGGGAGGCTTGATACTCTTACAGGTTCCCAGCCCCCTATACACATAAGCACATATGGGTGCTTATGTGACCACTACCTCCCCTACCTCTCTCTTGGAAGAGGAATAGGCATAGGGCCTTCCCACAGGCAGCTCTCCTAGGCCTCAAAGGTCTGTGATCCTCATTACGGTATGCCCCCAACACATACACCCTTCTCTGCTAGGAGCTAAACATCAGGCCCAAGTTGTTCCAATATGGAGAAATGGCTCTGGGTGCATGAGGTATTTGCTGTGGGAGCCCTAACATGGCTCAGACCTAGAAACAGCTTGCATGACAGGAAAAAGGACAAGTTCCCAAGCACCTAGGGAAAGTCCAAGGCTGAGGGGCAGAGCCAGGCCCATATACACTGACTACCCCTCTGGAAGTGGGCAATGCGAGATGCCAATAAGAAGACATGGGAGAATGTCTCCTACAACCCACTGCATGTTTGTAGAGTGAGTGGGAGGGCTGGGCATGGCTCAGCATCACCACTTGCCCAGGCATGCAAGATCCTAAGTCCCACCCTCAGCACAGCAACAGAACAAAACAATATCTAAAAACTCCCAAAGTAAAGGACATCAGTGTCTGTGGAGGGGACAAGAATGATTTCTTGGGGCTGGAGAGATGGCTCAGTGGTTAAGAACACTGAATATTCTTGCAGAAGACCCAGGTTTGAATCCCAGCACCCACATGGCAGCTAACAACTGTCCATAACTCCAGTTCCAGGGGATCTGATAGCCTCTTCTGTCCTCCACGGGCACTGCACGACACGGGTGCACTTACCTACATGCAGGTAATACATGCATACACATAAAAATAATAAATAAAATATTTAAAAAGAATGATTTCTTTTCCTTCTGTTTTGTTTTCTACACTTTCTATAAGCAAGAAGATACTGACCTATTTTTTAAAAAATTAAAGGCACAAGGGGTGGTGCTGGCATCTCACTGGCCTTTGTCATCATATGGCCTCTTTGGTACTCCCAAGGGAGTCTGGCTTTGCTGGATTTGGGAAACATCCCATCTGCAGCATCAAGAGGGTGTGGCCTTGACTCCAGACCTGAAGTAGGTGGTAGATCCTCAAAGAAGGGAAACTGCTTTGTGAAGGGTGGGCCTTCCCTGTGTTAATATCTACCTGTGCCATCCCACACGCATCATGACCTAGGCTTCCCCAGCTGCACACTTAGTAGCCCTCTCAGAGTGATGGCCCAGATCTCAGTCAGTTGGGATGGGTCCTGGAGGTGTCCAGCACCTTCCTCTGGGGCACAAAGTAAAGGCTCCAGGGAAGACACAGCTGGGAGCCACCTCTGCAGTCTCATTATCTGGCAAAATGCAGAGCTTAGCAAGCACATTCAGGGGCATGAGCTGCCTAATGAGAACGTCTATGAGAAGTAAAGTATTTCAAAGTTTAACTTGACATATCCAAGAAACTCAGCAACCCACTTGCAAATATCTAACCCCTATCCCTGCCTGCATCCTCTGGACCCTGACACAGGTAGCCTCCTAGCAGGGCATTGCTGGGCCAGAAAAGTCTAGGACTTAAGACTCCTGGGGGACATCCTACAGGATAGAGCTGAAAAAAATAACTTCCTGGCTGAGGGTTAGGCTAGAACGGGGGGCACTCAAGCCTGGGGGACACCTGAGACCCCCTTACCCAGCTGTGTCTAGGTGGCTTCATGGACAGATACCCAAGGACTATAGGAGAGCATGAGGGGATACTCTGGGGAAGACAACATTGAGGCTGGGCCTGGATAAACACAGGGTGGGGTTATGTACCCAACCAGCTATCCCAAAGCAACTGGGGAAACTGCTCAGCAGAGCCCACCAGGGCCCTCACCTAGTAGCATAGGCACTGCAGACCTTACCAGACTAGCTGGCATCACAGGCCATGCCACTGACTGTAAACTACCCCAAGCAGGGCTAGTGTGTCGTCCTAGTTTCATTTCTGTTGCTGTGATAAAATACCCTGACAAAAAGAAACTTAGGAAGGGTTTATTTTGGCTCACAGTTCCAGGCCACCATCCATTATTGCAAGAAGCCAAGGAGGTAGGAACGTGAAGGAGCTAATCATATCACAGCCACAGTCACGAGTAGAGAGATATGAAAGTGAGCATGCTCACTTGTTCAGCTCAGTTTCTCTACTCATATAGTCAGGGTCCCCTGCCTATGAAATGATACTACCCACAGTGGGCTGGGTCCTCCCACATCAGTTAACTTAAAAACAATTCCCTACAAACATGCCCCCAGACCAACCCAATATAGACAACCTCTCACCTCTCAGTGACACTCACTTTACAGGTGATTCTAGGTTCTGTCAATGGACAAAGCTTACCATCATTCATGGCAAAGGCAGATGGCCAGCTTGTGCTGGGATCTCCAGTCACATAGGCAAGGTTCTTAAGTGGCAGTCAGGCCAAATGACCATAATCACCCCTGGAGCTGGGACACAAAGTGGACTTGTTTAAGTGTGCAGCCTAGAAGTGGCTCTAGAGTTAATGGGATTCCAACCCCCCGCGCCCCCCCCCCAGAGGCTGAGGCTAATGACCACCCATAGTAGAATAAAGCTGTTTGGACAAGGGACACCTCCACATGAAGAGCCACACACGCTGACACCAGAAAGACTCACACTCCTCACTGCAGGATAGCTCAAGCCATGAAGCCCCAGCTATATCACCAGTCACAGACACCTGCAAGGAGAACAAGGCTACTTTGGGGGCTTCTAGACCAGGTCCTGTGTTCAATAAACAGTCCCAAGGTGTATCACAAGTCTTATAGCCTACTTCAGCAGCAAGAGTCCAGGGGTTCTCACAGGGAGGGAGCTTGCATAGGGTCTGTGGGTATCTACAGAACACATCTGCAAAGTAACTGGGACTCTGAGAACAAAGAGTGCTGGTAAGGGGAACTCCCTCCTCACTTGGTCTGGGTGTTTGTATATGTGTGTGGTGTACGTGTAGGTGTGCACTCACTGTATGTGTACAGAGCCCAGAAAATGACATCAACTTTCCTGCTCTACTGCTCCCTACCTTAATCCCTCACTGTCCCTAGAGCTAGGCTGTCAGTCAGCAAGCCTCAGGACACGCCTGTCTCTGCCCCCTCTCCCTCACAGTGTTACTACAGCCTCAAGCGTGTGAGGACATCCAGCTTCTTACATACATGTTGTTCTCATGCTTGCAACAGCAAGTGCTCTTGACTGCTGGACCTTGGTCTTTTTAGTGACAGCAATGAGTGCTGCCTAGGAATTGAACAGCCACTGATGACAACAATGCAAGAACATGAGGATACGGCAACATCTCCAGGTTTTACTGACAGAAGACATTAGGCAAGAAACCATTCAGATGCAACAGGGAAAACAAGTCAAACCCTTGCTTTGCACTCATGTCAAAATAAATTCTAGATAGATTAAATTTTGAGCATAAAAACGTAAAGTAGGAACATCCACAAGAAGAAAAGACAGACACATATTCATCTAGCTACACACTAGAGAGGACAACACGTAGTCCTAGAATAACTTAGAAAAGGGAAAACATTCAACATTTTGCTGTAAGTATGAAAAATTTCTGAACATCAAAAACTGCCACAAACAAAAATTAAAAAGCTGAGAAAAATTACTGACAGGCAGAGAGCAAAAAATGGATATCATTAATATTTAAAGACTCAGACTAAGGGCTGGGAAACACATCAAAACCCCAGGGGAACCTGGTGTGGGACAGACTGGGCTTGTGCTGATTTCTGAGATGGGGCAGAAGGCAGGTTTAGTTACGGCGAAGGGCACCTTATCACCCAGGCCTTGCATGGAGGTGTGTCACTCTCTTACAGTACTTTTGGGCTCCCCCTCCACAGAGGGAGCCCTATTAGTCATACCTCACAACCCCACATTTGTCACTGTTTCTTCTTTCTTCTTCACCAGCTGGGAACCCCTCATTTACAATGCCCAGTGCCTAGCATGGAGATCAGTGGGCAGGTGCTAAGTGACTGAAAGTGAGTGAGGGGGGCACACAGGTGCTTACCATCAGCCCTGACTACCTTAGCTCCAAGGTCCCCTTTCCATGTCCTTCCTGGTTGTAAGTAGAGCCATACCTCAGGACACAACAGAGCAGGGTGCCCTGAGCCAGAGCCAGGGTTCTGCTCACCAATCTATAAAATGGGACCCAGCCCAAGTCAGACATGGCACAAATGATGCCCACCATCTCTGCAATGCCCAGATCAGACATGAAAGAAATCAATTCCCATGTCAGGCATCAATCAAAACAGCAGAACAGAGACAGGGAAGGAGGAGAGAAAGAGATAGAGAGGACCAAAGAGAGATGGGAGAAGATAAGAGCTAAAGACAGAGAAGGATGAAAGGACAAGAAGGAGCAAGCAACAGAAAGAGTGAATGAGAATGGCCTAGGAGCCTCAGATCTGCTTCCCCTGCCAAATGTTACCAGAGCTGCCATTCAACATCTAGCTAACCTGGCCTCCCTAAGGTGAGTTAAGAGGGTCATGTATTAGTTTGCCTAGAACATATAAGGTCCTAGATTCTGGTCCCAGCACGGGGGGGGGGGGGGGCAAGTAAGAGGGGTGCAGGCTAGCCCCTTTTCCACTGTTTTCCCCAGATGCTGGCACTTGTTCTACAAGCAATACCATGTTTAAGACCTGGACACCTCCTGAGTCCCTTCATCACAGAAGCTGCTGAGGGGCTCAGTGGGCTGAGTGCTGAAATATTCTGCTAGACTGTGGCCCTTCCACAGAGCAGTCAGCAATAGGCCTGGCTAGTCTGGCCAATAGCTTCCCTTGCACAAGGTCCATGAGCACAGGTGAGGAGGAGCCAGGCAAACTCGTCCATCTCCTGTGCCCTCTAGCCCTTGGTAGAGGACACCCAGGCATCCGAAGGCCTGATGCTCTTGGGACTGTGCCCACCAACTTCTCCCACAATACTACTGGGCTAGATTTCTAAGTCTGGGCAACTGTGTCCCTGAGCATCCACAGGGCCACTGTTGACTGAGCAGCACTCAGTGGAGGACAGGCAGTCAGTCAGCTGGGGACTGGGCACCTGTGCTAAAAGAACATGAGTGGCAAGAGATACCCTTGTAACCATCACCTGCGCTGTCCAAAAGCAACCAGTGTAGGGTGTCAGATACCATCAACATGTCCTTTCCATTCAGAGAGTACCAGGGTGACACCAAAGATGACCAGGCCTCCAACCTGCCACACTTTCTGGGTACCACACCTCAGTGCCACTGAAGTTGGCAGCCATAATTCAGAAGAACCCAAAACACAGATAACTGCATAACCCCAACAAAGCCAAACTACAAAGCAGGGCTGTAATCAGAGAAGAGTATCATTTGTTCTAGTCACCTGATGCTGTTTGTGTGCTATAGTGGCAGAATGGCAAGGCTATGACAGAGGCAACAGGCATGCAAAACTGTTAGATATGTTTACTTTTTTGGTGCAGTCCAAAAGTACTAGGCCTTGAGGCCCAAATCTAGTGACCAGTCAGAGACTCGTTCTCCCCTGGGAAGTCAGGAGCAGCCCTGAGCTGCTGAGCTCTAGGCCAGGCAGGCTGTGCTGACACCAGATACCACCATGGCCGGTATCCAAACTGAGATGGACAGAGATCAGCCCCAGCTAATGTCCTCATCAACACTGCCCAGCAACCTGGTGGGTCAGTCCCACTGAGGGTTCATCTTCAAGACAAAGATCAAACTGATGGTTGCTGTCCACAACTGAACCACTGGGAAATCCAAGCTGGCATGGCATGATGTGGACACCTGATTCTATCTGGCCTTGAGGCAGTGCCCACCTAAGGTGAAGCTGAGCAAGCAAGAACATACACACCGCCTGGGCCCAGACCATCCCCAACTGACCACACACACCAAGCCCACAGGATGCTCTGCTATCCTGTGCAGCCCAAGTCACTTACCTATCTCAGGGGAATTCAGCATGTCCTGATGCCCATTCTGTGGGCTCTGCTCCTGCAGAGAAACCAGATGGCATTGTGTGAGGCCACCCTGGAGCCAGTCCCTTCTGGATCCAGACATACTGGCCTGGACTGTCCCCAAGCAAAATGCTGGCATCCTTGACCTTAAGGTTACCCTTTGATGGTCCCAACTCAGTCACCTACTGCATGTATTTCCTGTCTCCACATACAATTAACCGGGAGTGTAGTTTACATCAGGCCAACTTCCCTTATGAGCACTTCCCTGGTGATACGGTCCAGAGTTCAGAGATGTGACAGATAACACCCTCTTTCTCCTCCCAGAAGGCTGTCTGGTACATACTAATAGGCAGCACAAGGACAAACCCACACTAGGGCCAAAAAGCTCAGCATCACGCTGGTCCATGCAGATGATCACAGACCCTCTGCCTGAAGCTCACACCTACCCTTTGGGATGGTGCCTGCCTCTCCCAAGGCTCCCCAAAGCCAGTTCCAATCCTGAGTTCCCCAGGCAGGCAGCACCTTCCTGGTTCCCAAGACACTGGTGGCAGGCAGGCTACTGGCCCCAGAGCTACGGCCAGGCACGATGTAGACCTGGCCTTGGAGCCTGGGGCACCCACAGCGTACAGGCTGGAGCAAGGGTCAAGGTGGTACTGGTAACTTCCCAGCACACAACTCCACTGTGGGAAGAAGGAAGCATAGCTTCCTGTCTCAGCAGATAGCCTGGAGACATGTTCCCTCTTGGTATATCTGAACCTGGGGGCACTGCCAGAATGTTCATGTCATAAAAATGAAAACCAGGATAGGGAGCTTGAGAGATGGCTCAGTGGTTAAAAACACTGATTGCTCTTGCAGAGGACCTGGGTTCGAGTCCCAGCACCCACATGGCAGCTATGAACCATTCTTAACTCCAGTTCCAGGGGAATCCGAAGCCCTCTTCTGACTTCTGCGGCATTGCATGCCACAGGTGCACTCACATACATGCAGGCAATACACTCATACACATAAAATAAAAATAATACATAAAATATTTTTAAAAAATGAAAACCAGGATGGCACATACATACTGGGAGAGATGGATGGAGAAGGGGACACCTCTAGAGTGAGGTGTTAGAAATGGGAGCTCTTGTTCCTCTTGTTTCCAGATTGTTCTGGGCCTCTACCCAACCATCTGGGTCCCAAGAGTGGGTCTCTCTGCCTCAAAACATCCATTTTATCATAGGGAGAGGTTTCAAGAAAGGATTGGACAGTTCTTTAGATGTCAGGGTGGGATCACAGAGTGTGGCGATGGGGAACAGGACACAACATCGGAGGCAAAGGGGAGCCAGGCACATGCTACAAGGGCCAGGCCTGTTTATACTGGAGGAGGAGGTGGGTGGGGTGGCCCAGTAACCCCTCCCCTATGCAGAGGGAAGGACTGAAGCTCAGAAATCAGCTCCTGCTTTAAGCATATTTTTGGGACAACTTTGCTTTTAGCTTTAAATGTTCACATAGGTTTTTGTCTCACAGAGAACCATGTGACTTTGTCATCAGCTCTGGTCATTGACAGTCTCCCCCCTGGGACTTGCCATGTACCACAGTCTTGGCCATATGGGTTGTGCGTCAACAGCTGACTCCCACTGATGGTCCTGGGTTGGTGAAAGACCATTTTACTGATGTGAAGACCAGGTTCAGATCAGACAGGATCTGAACTCAGGTCTTTTTATCCCCAGGGCTTCTCAGCTGGGAATGCCATTACCCGCCCCCAACACACACACAGTTGGGGATGCCATGGTCACAGGGAGAAATGTAGCTCCTGCCTTGTCCTACTCCTGGAAAGGTGTTTCAGGAGGAAAGGGAAGGGTGGAGAGGCAGAGGGGCTTTAGAAGGCAGGTAGAGGTTAGAAAAGGTCTGGGTCTCTTTCTGGGAGTGCCCTCATCAAAGTGGGATCGTTCAGTTGAGTAGAACTGACCAGTCAGCCTGCTGGGAGATCTGAGGCAGGAAGCAGACAGGAAGTAACAGAGAGATGGACAGGGGAGTGAAACATGTAAATCTTGTGTTGGGATTCATGACAGGGAGATACTCATCTTGGGAAGCCCTTTCAACACCCTGCAGAACTAGTCTGCAGGCTCCAGGGTTACCCACCTGGTCAAGGACCTACACCACTGGGCTCTTTGTCATGCTCCATTTCTCCAAAGAGGATGGTTTGAGTCCACCCTTATCATATACCACAATGCCCCCACCTCCCCAATGTTGGTTTCTGTACCAAACCATCTAAACCCAGTTGAACCTGGGGACCCTGCCACCACCTGCCACAGACCTAACTACACTCTAGGGATGGTCTGCAGCTGTGATGCAGTGGTGTCACTGACCGAACCACAAAGCTGAGGGGTCTTAAACCCTATAGGGCACAAGAGTCTGGCCAAAGCTGAAAAGCCAGCCATACAGCCAGACCAGCAAGTTACAAGCCACAGCAGAGACAAGCCAGACTCAGAATGCTGGGCAGGTGGCTCAGGGCCACACAGGCCCAGCAAGGATCAGGCAGGCTTGCTTGAGAGTTTGGTCAGCGGTGACAGCAGTATAGCTTCAGCAGGCTGCAGACCTGCCCGGATCTCCTTCGGTTCTGCTCCGTGAGCAGAGGTGGGGCTAAATGCAAGTGGCTGGGAACATGCTCTTTCAGCAGTCAACATGGGCACAGACCCAGGGAACTTCAGTTACTGGGCAGGGAAATATCATACTGCTCTATGACAGTGGTATCTACCACTGCTAAACCATTCCTTCAGGCCTATCATGAGAACACACCCACTGCTGCCACTGTCCTGCTGAGCAGTCTAGGCTTCCTTCCTCAGAGGAAGAAGCATTCTCGCTCAGAATGTAAGCACCTCAGAGCAACACTGGGTCTTGCCCAGGATCCCTGACTCTTCCCAGATCCACAACCTCACAATTAGTCCAGAGGAAGCAGAGCTCAGCCCTCCCAGCTAGAAAGAGTTCCAGCCCAGTGGAGGGGGGGTAGCTGGAGTGGGACTTGCTGCCCTGGCAGTCTATGCTGCCCTCCAGTGGCCAAATTTAGACCTGGTTGCTTTGCCAGACGTTTGCAGGCCATTCCCTAGGCAGGGCTGTGCCTGGCTCAGTGGGTAGAGGAGAGTGGGAAGGGGGCTCCCTGTGAGGTCCCTCTGACAGTTATGTTCTTTTCTTCCCAAGATGTACAATCCCTCAGTTTGGAAGGGCCTACGAAGATCTCTGATCCCCAGTCTTCCTAACTCTAGGGCCCCTTCAAAGCAGTTGGGAGACCTCACCTTGTATCAGTGGAAACTTAAAGAGCAAACATTCGCACTTGTCAGAAGCCATTGTTTCACAGTCCCTAGAATCTCCTATGCTCCCCACCTGGCAGCTTGCAGTGCTGTCCCAGGGGACCCTCACCTCCAATCCTGGCTCCTTATACTGAATGGTCCCTAATCTTCAACCCAAGCTCTGTCTCAGCTCTCTTGTGCTGGAGCTAGGTGTGGTTGGACATGAGGGGCTGACCAGTTCTGGCATGCCTGGTGCCCTTGACCACACAGACTCTGCATAGCTCCTGGCTCCTCTTGGAGGCAAGTGATCCCTTTACTCTTGTCCTGGACTACCTTTTGCTCCACCCTGGGTCCTATCTTTTAGGGCTAAAAAGAAGCTCAATATGAATCCTTGTGAAGCACAAGCAAAGAAAGGGTACAGCCTGAGTCATGGAGGCTGAGAAATACAAAGGGTGCCTGGGAGTAAGAAGAGGCCACCTGGAGGGGGAACCAGAATGAATGCAGGGAGCCAAACAGCCCAGATTGATGGGGGGAAGGCACAGTAGCTCAGAAACAGGACCAAGGGCTGGGCCCAATTAGTGCAAGATGGCCTTAGTCATCAGTGTCTGTGTAGAAAAGCCACGAAGAGTAGCACAATCAGGAAGACCCAAGTGGGCACTGGCTTGGCAATGCTCAGAAGGACCATCATCATCAGAAATAGCACTCTGTGGTCAGTTATGTGCTGGACCCTGATGGACCCCAAGTGGAGAGTGGGTGTGGAGGTGGGGACAGCAAGGAAGAAGAGGTACCTCAAATGAGACAAGGCTAGGGGTACATCTACTTAGGAAATAGACATAGTCTCAGAACATGGGAAAAGAACTCCAACTGTCCCAGTGTCTTGCACCACTCCAGGCTCACAGATCCTGAGGCCACAAGGCAGGCAGCATTTGCTCTGGATGGACCAGAGAGATCTCTGATCATATCCTGAATCCTGGAGGAGAAGTAGAGGGTTTGGGGTCACCCTGGAGATGGAGGCTCCAATGCACAGCTGGCTCTACTCAGACAACTTGTTCATGGCTCCATCCCCTGGCTTTATAAACGTCCACTGCATCCCAGTTGGCAGCCTACAACACGAAGAGCCTAGCCTAAAAGTTAACATGAATGGGATCATTTCTTTCTTTTCTGTCATGTCTAAGTATGTCTGAATCTATAGGGAATAAAGAGCAAGAGTTCGCTGGTTCTGTAGTCACTCTGATACATGACACTAGAACAAAAACAGTTGAATGTTGCATGTCTGCAATATTTAATTATTTAAAAATTAAAAGGGAAAAGCCAGGCTATGCAAGTCTCCTCCCCACAGTAAATCCTCGCCAAACCCAGACTAAGTACCACTTAGAATGGCCAGGCCAGTGTCCCACTAAGGGGGTACAGGGGTATTAGGAAGATCAAGCCGACACACCAAACAGGGATCCCCAGCGGCATCTCCTCTCTCATTTCTGAAGCCATAGAAGCGCAGAGTGGGGACATCCCCTTGGCACAGCCGGACCCCTGTACTTACTAACCGTGTGCCACCCCAGAAAAGTTCCCCAACCTCTCCACCCCTCCGGCCTTGGAAAAGTTTCCGTGGCTGCGGGTCCCAGGCTTCCAAGCACCGCGGTTGTTTACGAAGGACATGGCTGCAGAGCTGGGTCGCGTTCAGCCTCGACGCACCATGAGGGGCCTTGGCCAAGTTGGGCAGAGCCCTGAGGCTGCGCACAAAGGACCCGCCCCCAGCGACCCGGGTCTCTGGGGACGCGGCGCAGCCAAAGCGAGGGTAAGGCAGTGGAACGGGCTTCCGAACCCCACCCAGACTCTTGAGTCCCAGTCCAGGACCCTGCCCTACCGCAATCCGCGTCGCCACCCAGACGCTAGCATCCAGCCCCCATTTCGAAGCCCAGCCCCCTCCCCCAGCGCCCACTCCCAGCCTGGCCTCCCGCAGGTCTCCAAACCCAGGCCCAGGCCCAGCAACCGGGCTCCGCCTACCCGCCCCAGCTCACCTGGAGCGCAGCGTGGGCGGCTGAGCAGCGCGGCCTCCGCCCCCAGACGGGTGTCCCCGGGTCTCCCGGCGCGCGGAGACCGCTCTGTCCCGCACGTTGCACCGAGCGGGGCTCCGGGGTCCACAACATGCGCGTGGGCGGAGGCCAGCCCTCCCCACCCCTCCCCTCCGGGGCCCTCAAGCACCCGGCGGGCTAGCCCTCCCCACCCCTCCCGCGGCCCGTGTGCAAAGCGGACTTGGCTGGCGAGGAGGCCTCCGCCCCGCCCCATCCAATTGCGAATTTTCCCATTGGTCGAAAGACGCGGTGCGTCCCAGCAACCCGCGCCGATTGGATGAGTGTGCAGAGACGGCGGGTTGCGGTTGGGCTCCTGGCATGTCAGTCTTAGCCGAAGACCGGCCCCTTGCGAAGCAGACGAGGCCCAGGCACCTGCCTGGAACGCTGCAGTGGCCGCGGAGCTACACCCTCCGGGCTACCTTCCTAAGACGTCCACCCCTGAGCGGGACTGGCACGGGCAGCGGTGACTCCCGGATTCCAGCTGCGTTGTCTCCATCAGTACCCCTAGTTCGCAGGTATCCTTTAGCACCTGCTGTTTGCCGGACTCTGAACATCGAGCCCTTTTATTTGGCATCAAATTGTATGTCTCCTACAACCCGCAAGAGAGAGTTGGGCTGCTTACCCCCATTTTACAGATGGGAAACTGAGGTCCAGAGAGGTTCTCGCTTAATTTAGGTAACCGGGGCATAAACCCAGCCGTCGGACTGTGGGGCCTGGGGGTTTTCTCACTCTCATTGCTCCAGGATCTTTGCAAAACGAACATACAAGGTTGAGCCTTTTGCTTAGCTGGAGGCGGTGGTGGGGGAGGGGGTTGTCACGGAGCGCTACAGTGGTTTCGAGGGCAAAGACGGACTCCAGTAAAACCAGAGTTTGCGTCTCCTGTCTAGCCTGTATCTGCAGATCCCTTGGGCATTTCCCACGCGGCATGGGGCTCCACTGAGCTCTCCTGGGGTACTCACAGAGTTCTCAACCTGGGAAACGGGAGTCATGTATTTGTCCCTTCCCACCCCATTGGTGTCTCCGTTTCCTCTGCCGTTTTGAGTCATGGAGGAACATTGTGGGGCTTCAGCCGCTGCCTGTAGAGATTAACACACAGGTGGCATTTCCCTGCCAAGTAGAAAACACCAACCACATCTCTAGTGACACCGGACACACATGGGACTGGGGCAGCTACACTTAACTTTGCCAGAGGGGAACCAGCAGGGTGCTATATGTTCAGGAAGTGGGAGAATGGGGAGGCTGGGAGAATGAATCTGACTTGTGCTTGCTTCTAAGCCTTTCTTTCCCTGGATGTACCTGGAGATGAGCAGTTTCTAGGCTTTGTTTCTGAAGGCTCCTACAGACAGTGCTAACAGAGGCCAGGGGGCAGGGGCTATCCAGACAGTCATAGCTCACTCACCTAAGCAAAGAGTCCAGTGTACTCCCCAATAATGGTTGCTTAGTCAGAGCAAAGAAAGTAAAATGGCCTGGAGCCACCTGTGTCCTGACAATCCCGAACGTTGATAGCAGCAGCTCTTCAGAGTCAGGACAGCCACAACTGCCATTTGACATATTGGCACAGAGATGTTGTTGCAGCTCTGGGAGGGCAGAATGAAGCATCCCCCTAGAACACACACACACACACACACCAAAAAAAGGAAGGTAATGCACGTTTTAGAGCAACACCACAGCGACATTCTGACTCAGATACTACATGCCTGGGGATTCTATTTCCTCCTCTAAGGAGTGGGTTTAATAAGTCTAACGGTCCTCTGGCATGTCTATAAGGGCATTGGCTCCTGTCCAGGAGTCCTTCTTTTGATGACCTCATAGCCCTGTACCACTACTTCCCTCATTCTAATGGTAGCAAGGAGGAACTCTCTGCTGGAAGAGGGCAAAAGGGAGACTCATCCTTTCAAATCGGCTCAATCTAGGTCTCTCCCTTCCAGAGATCAGTCAGTCTTTGGGCCCCATCATCAGCTACATAGAGAAGATCAGGGTGGGTAGAGCCAACTCAGATGGGTCTGAGGGCTGCTAACTTGCAGTCTGCCCAGATTCTCCCCCCCTCCCTCCCTCTCTCTCCCTCCCTCTCCCTCCCTCCTTCTCTCTCCCTCCATTCTTTCTCTCCTCTCCCCTTCTCTTTCTCTCTTGTTTGCCTCCTCCCTGTCCCCTTCCCTCTCTCCCCTTCTCCCTCTCTCTACCCCTCTCTCCATCTTCTTCTCCACCTCCCTCTCTTCTTCTCCCTCCCTCCTTCCCTCTTTCTCTCCTCTCCCTTTCTCCCTCTCCCCCTCCTCTCATTCTCTCCTCCCTTTCTCTTCCCCCCTCCTTCCCCTCCCTTTCCTTCTCCCTTTCCTTTTCTGTCTCCTTCCCTCTTTTTCCTCTTCTCTCTCCCTCCCTTCTCTCTCTCCCCCTCCCCCTTCTCTCATTTTCCCTCTCTCCTCCCCATCTCTCCCCTTTTCCTCCCCCATCCTCCCTGTCCCCCTCTCCTCTTTTTCTCCCTCTTTGTCTCTCCCTCTCCCTTTCTCTGTCTCTCCTTGTCTCTCCTTCTCTAGCCAACTGCTGGTCAGCTCTGTAGAGACAGTGCTGGGGAAAGCTGCAGAGAAAACAAAGTATATGTCAGGAAGAACTTCCTAACAAATTCAGGTGCTTAATGAAGTGGTGAACTCCCTCTCTGAGGATATGTGCAATTGGAGGTAGGATGACAATGAGCCAGACTTCCAGGGCCACATGCTGCCCTGTGACAGAGCAGGATTTGAATCACTATACAGCATATTCCGGCATCTCTATGAAGATGGGAAAGCTTGTTCAATCCATGTCCCACTCCAATTGGAGACAAGTCACTGAGTCTCCTGCCCCATGACTGAGGCCATGCTCACTTATTCCCGAGCCCAGATCCTACTTGCACACCACCACTGCCTCTTGGTCCTGAGACCATGTAGAGCCCAGCATGGTTATGCTGCCACTCTGCAGGAGGGGAAACCAAAATGCCTAGCTAGGTCTGCCATCTGCTGGCCATGAGTCCCCTGGTGTCTGGAGCCCTCAGTTTTGTTTGTAAAAGGCTTCCATTGAATTCCAGGAGGATTACATACAGGTGAAACTGAAAGAGTTAGGCAGAGAAGACCTTTTGGAGGATCTGACTTAGAACCTTGCCTTTACCTCTCTGAGCTCATTTTCTGTAGAGCATCAGTCCTGCAGCTTGGGATCAGGGCACCTAGGTCTTCAGTGGAACTACTGACACTGCCCTCTTTTTTGTAAAAGGCTTCCATTGAATTCCAGGAGGATTACATACAGGTGAAACTGAAAGAGTTAGGCAGAGAAGACCTTTTGGAGGATCTGACTTAGAACCTTGCCTTTACCTCTCTGAGCTCATTTTCTGTAGAGCATCAGTCCTGCAGCTTGGGATCAGGGCACCTAGGTCTTCAGTGGAACTACTGACACTGCCCTCTTTTTAAAAAAATTTTTCTTTTTAGTCTTTTTGAGACAGGGTCTCCCTGTAGCCCTAGCTGGCCTGGAACTCACTTTGTAGACCAGG